GTCTCTCTGTCTCTCTCTCTCTGTCTTTCTGGTGAGCACACGCACCCTATAGCAAAAACCTCTCAAAGAAAAAACAAACAAACAAACAAACAAAAAAAAGAAAAAATGTAAGCCTATGGTTTCAATTACCATATATAAACTGGCAACTCCCAGGTTTATTTCAAATATGGGTTCCATTCCTTATTTAATTTACTGGTTACTTTTTTGTCATAGGGCGGGCGCCACCACACCCCTTTACTGGTTACTTTTATCACCACCTCTACTGCCTTAAGCCCAAGTTACCAGTACTTCTCATTTGCACTACTGCAGTACTTTCTTAAATGGTTTCCATGAATCCACTATTGCTCTACTTTAACCCATTTCTACACAGCAGCAAGAACACTATTTACCTATTTAATGCTAGAGAGCCCATGTGTGATATGTATGAGAGAGAAGAACAGAAGGAAAAAGGATCCCTCAATGGGGCCTGCTCATGCTGCAATTCTTTCTCCTCCAGTTCTCCATCTCCTCAGGTTCTTGGGCATGTACACTCACATCCAGTGTTTTTCAAGTGGTGGTGACCAGGATTTGAAGCCTGGTTAGCCACATTAGATCCAGCTACTTCTGCATAGCAGTTAACCAGTACACTACAGGGCCAGCTCTAGAACATCTTTTAAAAATGTAAATTGGCGACCAGCAGTTGGCATAATGGCCATGTTGCTGGGCTCCCATGTAGTCAACCGCAGTTTGAGTCCTGGACCTGGTAGCTTAAATTCATGCCGGGCGCATGTGCATGCATGTCCAAGATCCCAAAAGGAGAATGGAGGAGAAGGGATTGCGGTATGGCCACCCCCCCAGGGGGTGATTTCTCACTTTCTGTCTGTCTCTCTCTGTTTTTCTGGTGAGCGCACACACCCTATAGCAAAAACCTCTCCAACAACAAAAAAAAGGGTAAAAATGTAAATTATTTGGGGTTGGCAGGTAGTGTAGTGGTTAAGGCACATGGCTGGCCACCATTTGAATCCCAGACCTGGTAGCTGGCTTTCTCACTTTCCCTTCTCTCTGTGGTCAAATTAAAAAGTTCTAAAAAACAAAAAAAAGATCAGACTTTGATATTTAAATTTTTTAAAATGTAAATTATTAACATTACTACCTAGATTAAAGAATTTTGCTTTTTATATTTTTGCCACAGGGAGCATGTGCTCACAGGAGACAGAGAGAGAGAAAGGGAAAGTGAGAAATCATCCCCCAGAGGGGTTGACCATGCCACAATCTCTTCTCTGTCATTCTCCTCTTGGGATTCTGGGCATGCGTGCACATGCACCTGGCGTGTTTATTAAGATACTTAGTACTAGAACCTCAGAGTTGGCCATGTGGGATCCAACACTTTAACCACAATGCCACCTGCTGGTTCTCAAAATAATTTTAAACATGAGTCCTTGATAGGGGCACTGCTGTCTCTCTAGCTTCACACTGGAATACTCTTTCCTTGCTTTCTATATTTACTCTAGTCACAGTGGTATTCTTTGAGTTCTTTAAAATGCACTGTACTCCATCCTAGCTCAGACCCTTCCAGACATTGCTATATATCAGGTACTATTCTAAGTGTTGTATGTGCATTAACTCATTTAACCCTCATAAAAAGTCTACGAAGGGATCAGCAGGTGGCATAGTGGTTAAGGGTGCTGGACTCCCACATGGCCAACTGCAGTTGGAGTCCCAGACCTGGTGGCTTGCATTCTCACTTTCCCTCTATGTCTCTCACTCTGTCCCTCTCTGGTCAAACTAAAATAAATAAATTTTAAAAAAAGTATTTGAAGCAGGTATGTCAAACTAAAATAAATAAATTTTAAAAAAAGGCTTTGAAGCAGGCACTATTATTACTTCTATTGTAGAAATAGGGAAACTGAGGTATAGAGAACTTGCCCAATATACATAGCTAGTGAATTACAGAGCTAGGATGTGAATCTGGGCAATTTGGCTGCAGTGCTGATGCTTCTTACTACTATACTTTGCTAACACATGTTATTTCTTCTCTTGGGATTGCTCTTTTTTCAAGTTTTTTTTTAGGGGGAGGAAGGGGGGGAAGGAAGGAAAAGGGAGAGAGGGAGGAGGCAGGAGAGAGAGACAGGTATTTTCAGCAGGGTTTATCCTCTGTAATCCTCCTTCCAACTCTGCAGCAAGCCAGGATCATGGTCATGCCCACAATCCTACATGGGTGTGTCCAGCATGTTCAGATAGATCCAGGACTTGAATCTGGAGCCTTTTCATATGGCCTCCAGCATCAAACAGCACAGATTCCTACTGTCTGAGGCTGTGCCTTCCTTCTTTTCTGCATAGTTAATTCCTACTCAGTCTCTCAGATTTCAGCCCAAATGTTGCTACCTCAAGAAAGTCTCACCAGAAAGTCCCTGTTGTATACTTTCATGGCATATTACCCCAGTCTATAATAATATATCATGCTATATCCTGATTATATATGTTCAGTGTTTGTCTTTCACACTGGGCTATAAGCCCCACAAAGGCAAAGACTTTCTGCTCTGCTCAATAATCTCAGCACCATATCTGGCATATAACAGTATTCAATAAATAATTATCATCAAAATGAATGAACAAATAAATAAATAGGAAAAAAGGCATTTGGGCAATAGGAATAAACATGAAAGAAAATAGGTGGATAGAACTGAGTATGACATTTTATAATTCAAATAATATGGACAAGAAAATTACTTATATTCTCTATAGGGACCACTAGAAAAGGAGATAAAAAAGGAGGAAAAGGAAGTA